TCTCTCTCTCTCTCTCTCTCTCTCTCTCTCTCTCTCTCTCTCTCTCTCTCTCTCTCTCATTTAGAATAAATAAGCTATTTTCCACTCGTATTAAATTTATTCTAATTCTTCAGAATATACAAATGTTAGAAAGTTTAGATCGAAAGTAGGGCTAAAATTTCGACTCGGCTTTTACCATTTAGGCCCGTGTTAATAACCCTTACTTGTCTGAAATTTGTCTATCAAACACTCAGATCGAAATTCAAGTTATATCGGTATTTTGTATTCGAATCATACGATATTTATAACACTATATTTATAATTGCAATTTAATTGAAAAACTTATATCTAACGCTAAGACCTGTATAATAGTTGTGTCATCTGAAACTTATTTCATGTGAGATACTCAGATTTTTATTCAGTTAAATGCAAATTTTTTTTCAGTCGAATTATAATATATGTAAAATTTATATCTGCAATCACGATTCAACTGAGAGATTCATCTGACTTTGAATGCAGGTATAAATATCTCACACACGGAAAAAAAGGTTTGGTTGAATTAACCAAATATCTGGTCGATTACGAACGATCCAGAAATTCCGATTGAAGTAACCCGAATCTTGTTTAAGTTAACAAGATGTTTGGTTGACTTAAACAGAATTCGAGTTACTTCAATCGGAATTCTGGATCGTTCATATTCGACCAGATATTTGGTTAATTCAATCAAGCTTTTTTTTCCGTGCACGACGTAAATTTTAAATGACTATTAATACAAGTCTAAATTCAGACCTGAGTATTGTCTCTTATTTGAGACAAGTTTCAAGTAATGACTTTAGAGACGCTAAAAGACCTTAGAGACTAAACAGGACTTTAGTTTCCATGTGTACCACACTGAAAGAAAAAATAGTTGGAATAACTATAATCTTACTAAATTTTATAGTTCGTTTTGGCCTCAAACATATATTTATAGTTCATCTAAACATGAAGTTATAGTAGAATGAACACAAATTTATAGTCACCATCTTATTATTCTATATATATGGTAAAGCATCTTTTGGGAATATAGTTACATGTATATTCCAATTGTATTGACTGTATAAAATAGTTAATTTCTCTTACCATTCAATATTTGCTATCTTAATATATTTTTTATTTCAAATGATTGTAATTCTTGGTAAAAGTTTTGCACGGGTCAGTTATACTATGCTTATATTGTAAATATTACTAATATTATGGTAACGTTTACTATAAAAATTATATTCCTAACTATAATCTTTTTACTATGCCATTATAGTTCCAAATATCATACATTTTTCTCTGCAAGTATACACTGATCCTTCAGAGTATATTCAGAGTATTAGAAAGTAGGACTAAACTTTCGGGATATGGGATGCGAGAAGAGGAAAGAGAACAGACGAAAATAGCCCGACGTTGACTTTCGAGACTTGTATTTGTCACGACGTTATCTTATCCTCGTGCCGGAAGTTGCACAACGATCTCGGATAATCCCGTCAGATCGACTTTCCGGTCTGGCAGTCCTCGGCCGGCAGGATCGAATGAGTAATCGCGTTCGCGTGCATTTAACAAGTTTCGCCAGCATCTGGCACTAGAGAATGTCGGCTTGTCTATGAGTAATTAGAGTTACGGCTTGAGAATTTAACGGCGCGGTTAGTGCCATCTGTGTCCACCCCGCTCGGCCGGGGTGTGTGTAGCCTTTCTCATCCTTCCGCAGATCTCTCCCGCATCGGGAGTGTCCCGTCCCACGGTCTCTTTCTCGCGATGTGGTCAGAGTTTAGAATCGAATTAGTTTGACCCTCCCATTGCGTCCTCTCGCCCTCGTTCTCCCTCTCTGTTCACTTATTGCGCGTTTAAGCACCACCGGCTCCGAAACAACCAACGACTCCCGCAGTCGACCGTTGTCCGTGCTCCGGATAAACATTAGGTGTCCCCTCGGAGGAGCTACGGTGTCCGCTTAAGTGTATAAAAATAGCGCGATACCCACTCGCGCTGTACCCACGGCGACGCGAACGCGTTGTGGATGAGGAAATATTCTCCACGAAGGTCCTGAGAGACATGTACAATCTTTGGTAATGCACAGGAGAGCGCAGGATCTCGAGCACGCGCTTGACCGTTTGATCTTGAAGAGATTAATAATCGCGCGGAGCTGAAGGCTCGTCCTTTTTCCTCCGGGCGATGTCCACCAGCACGCGCGCCCTGCCGACCAAGTTCGATCTCAGCCACCCGGTATATTTACGAGCTCATACCCGCGGATGCTATGAGCGAAGTTTGTGCGGTTTCAATATGTCCTCTCTCTCTCTCACCCCTAGCATGGACACAATATTACGCGGGTTAATATCTTCCGTGCGGTCGGGACTTTGGGGCAAATATTAATACGATGCCTTTGATCCGTTAATTATTAACGGCAACGGGGATGAAAAATCCGCGTATCGCCTTGGAGAGGGAACGCGAAAATTTCCAGGGACAAAAACCGCGCCGGATGATGCCCCGTTTCCCGATGCGCTTCTAATTAAACGCCTTTGTCGTACGCCGCCCGCGCGGACCCGCATATATATATATATATATATGTGTGTGTGTGTGTATGTGTGTGTGCATGTGTATTACGTGCAACACATCGGTGTGAGGGGCGGGTTTTTTGCGGAACGCAAACGGCGCGGAAAGTTTTCGTCTACAGTAACGCGAGAGACGCCTCGGCACACAAGCCGAGAGAGAGGCGCACCTCGGTTACAATCGCACCAGCGGGGGCGAGTTAATTAATCGAGT